AATTTAGGCAACGTTGAACCTGGTCAGTAATTAGATGGGTGGACGTTTCATTATAGCTGGTGTTGTAGGCTTTGATGTGCGGGTGGTGTAATAGATGATGGTTCGCATTATTAATCAGAGAGCCGGGTTCAAATTCCCGTTGGGTTACTTATAATCACTTACCAGCAAATAACACTGGGAAAGATATGAATCCAACTCATCCCCCCAGCTAGGGGTTAATTATTAAACATTACTATATAGAATTAAAACTGCGTACAAAAAATTTAATTCGGCATTAAATAATCCATAGAGATTGATATGCTGCGAAACAAAAACAACCAACCCAAAGAAGCCACTAAATAACAGTATGTTTGTCGTGATAGGATCAACTGAATGTTTATTAAAGACTTGAAATGAAAGAATCATCCTCCAGGTAATAAACCACTGACATAACATCTAGTCTACTAATGGCAATCTTCAAAATTAAAGCGTTTGATAAAATACTTTGTTTTTTGTTTTTGTTTTTGTTTTTTTTTTAAATATAACATAGTAAAAAGGAAAACATATATCTGTTTGAATTCACTTCATGCCATTTATTGGCTTCAGTGTACATTTTTAAATCTGGATACGGATTACGAAGAAAAGTGAATCGTTCTTTTACTTTTGCTGATTGGAGACAAACAGAACCCAATTTAGGTCCAATTACTTGAAGCCAATCAACTTCCTCACCAAACGATTTTAAGTTGTTGTTTCACATGAATCAAACTAAAAATAAATAAACATTAAAACATAAAATACTTCCGAAGAAACATATTTACAAGAAATGGTGTAGTGACATATTCTGTTGCCCTATTTATGTATTATTAGTGGGAATAAAAAATAAGCTAAATAAGTATTTAAAGCGGAGAAATGTTTAAGCTATACTTAGAACGAGTTTCTATCCAGTCAGCGATAGGATCTGTTTAATAAAACATTTGTACATAATCACGATGCTCATTTTCAATTAGTATTATTAGCATACCTCTCCAATATATTAGCAGTTAGAAACCATTACTATAGTCGTTTTCATTATATTTCATTACTGTTATCATTTGGTGAGAGAAATGAAAGCCAATCGAGAGAAGGGGCCTAGTATATATAAAATGATATGAGTGCAACAGTCAATAAGAACCCGCCAAAAATATGCGGTATGGTGAAGAAGAACGTATAATATTCCATGTCGGTGCAAATTTAGAAATATCTGCTAAATTAGAAATGCCTCCAAACAATTCCGAATATTTCAGCTTCAGGGCCTTTTCCCAATAACTAGATTTAACATTCAAGAAAACTTGGCTGCAAAACCCGTCAAAAGTTCTCCTCAGTTTTCACGTCTCCTGTACCTGATGTTCCACGGTAATACCACTTATTAACAGAGATACACAATGCGTTAACGCACAGTTCAGTTGCACTTTACAGTCAAATGATAAGTGTTATTGACAAACAGTATAGACAAGCAGTATTTACAACCAATTAAAATCAAAAGCCAGTAGAAAATGTTCTCTAAATACTGGCTGTTAATTGTTAATTTATCCATGTTTACACACTGACTACTTCTACCTATATCGTCCGAGTCTCACTGAGATTTCTAATAACTTACCAAGCAGATATGGTGGATAGTTTTTATATATTTCTTTTGAGTTGATTTATCCTCTTTTCATCTAAAAATACCTATTATCTAATTTTAAATTATTAATATATGTTAGGCTCTCCATATATCATATTTTCATTTTCTGCTTTTGATTATAACAGTTGAGACATTTCGGGGAAGTGTCAGGACATTTATGCTTCTTCTTCTTTTTTTTCTTTTTCTTCTTCTTCTTCTTCTTCTTTTCCCACTACTACTGCTACTACTACTACTACTACTACTACTACTACTACTTATTATTATTATTATTACTTCTGGATTTTCGCAGATACGATTTTAATATCTTGTAAGTAATGTATGAATAAAAAACCACAACCTCTAACTGGGCAATCAATACTAACTTTTTATCCATTGTTAGTCACTGTACCAACTGCACCAATGACAACTAATGTTATTTTCGTTTTTTGGATTTACAACTAAGGTGAGGAGGCATTATTTGATATTGTTATATGCAATCTACAATCGGTAAGATAGTGGACAATGTTCCATCTACTCCCGGAAAGTGAGAGTTTGGTCCGAATGAAAATTTTTCTTTTTTTATTAGTGATTATTTTATTGTTGATTGTTAATACAAAGTTTTTGGTGATTATCTGTGCGTACGCGTTTTGTTAATTTGTTCATTGTTTTACTTTTTTTGTTTATGCATTTCTATTTATTTTCTTGTATTCTTGATACTTTTCAGTTTTCTAATTTTAAGAAAATTATTAATAATTCTTTTGAGATGAATTCTGATCGTTTATTTATTAGTCTGTGTTAGTCTGGTGAAGTAATTATAGACAGAGTTTAGAGATTTGCATTTATTATTGTAGGCTAATGCCGTTTTCCTTATTTTTGATGATATTTTTGTGTGATTTATTTTCGTATTAAGTTTTTTTCGTTTTTTTTTTTTAATATCCCAGATATCTTTAGAAAGCACTCTGCTGTTCGCGTATTGACTATTTTAAAGCATGTTTTGATTGCGTGTGTTATTTGTTAACATGGTACTTACTACCATGTATATTATTCTTCGTTATCTACTGATCTTACAGTGGATTTATATATTACATTGTCCTGGAAACAGTTTCGTTTAAGGTACATTCGTTGTTTGATCTGTAGTAACACATGGGTTTAATTTGTTTAGGATGTTTGTTGGTTGTTTTAGTGATGTGTGTTTTTTTATTATTTATGCCATGTCCTCGGTGCAACTTTAGCCGATTTATACTATGTTTTGTTGAATGTCTTGCGGAGAGTGCTTTATGCGAGGAAATGTTTGTGTATGAGTGTAATGAAAAATTCTCCTAAGACATGTATATATACAGCAGCTTCTCTTTGTTCATTTCTGTATGGTTTATATGAAAGTAAAATCTAGAAAATCTACATCATTTAGTTTAATTTTATATCTAGTTTGAATTTCATCTTTTGTAATTTTTTTTTCGAGTTTTGTCTGTTTTTTTTTTTTTGTTTGTTTGTTAGATTTTCCTAAAATTATGAAACCTTATCCCTGTGTCTTCTATGATTTTTATTGATTATTTCAATTAGTTTCTGTTGCGAATATTTATCTATTAGCACACATGTCTCTTCATTGACGATTCTTCCCATTGTAGCATCAAATGTCTCTTCTTTCCATGTGTCTTCATTGTCGGATAATAATGATTTTCGGGAATGTTTAATGATTTATAATTAAACTGTGTTTATTTTTATCTGTTCTTACGCTAAGGAGATGGACGTATCCAGCATGGTTTCTGTCATATGAGGATAGATTTGATTTATATCTTGCTGCATGAATTAGAAATTGTTGTTGTTGTATTTTTTAGGTTACGGACCCACTCTATTAGGAGTTTTTGTTCATTTTGTGTTTATAAGTCTGTATGTTGGGTTTTTTCGGAAATTCTCCAATATATATAAAGAATCGAGCAAAACACAACTCACATGGCCTCACGGTTTCGTTTATTTTGAAACAGAATCTCGTCACTAGATATAGATCAATGTCCACTTTTATATTTGCATGAGCTCCATCACTGATTTTGTGCACTTTAATCGATAAATATGCCATACATTAAATTATACTGTATCATATATATCTATATCTATGTATGTATATATATTGAGAGAGACAGACACACACAGACACACAGAGTCACACAACGAGATCGAGGATCTAGTAAGAAATAACGAATCATTTTATTCTGGTTTATCTAACATTTACCACAAGATTTTCGAAAAACTTTAGTGCCGATTCCGGTCAGTGAAATCAAGATCTGCCGTAGTATACTTTTTATGAATCTTGCTTTTCCTGACTTCCATGGACGAATAAAACCGAATCGAAGAAAGAATTTCCAAATTCCAATTAACGCGCCAATCAATCGGCGATCAACACCCCAAGTGAAAACTCATTTCGAACTGCGTATAGAACGTATCGCTGTAAATAGGCAAACGTCGTGCAATTGATTCTAAGTCACGTCATGTGTCATTACTTTCCCGCGAATCCTCATCACACTATCTTTAACTAATTACGAAAACCAAAAGTTCAGTAATGTCTACTTGAGATGACTTCCGGCCAATTTTCAGTATTCATGCTGGTTTTCCATTGTAATGTTTCGATGAATATAGGTTGATTGATAACAATATTCCCATGGAAACAATGTCTTGAATATTGTCATGTGGCGTTGTCTATGCAACTTAATAGCTTTTCCCGGTAAACATTGTAATTATGGAACAATTCTCAACATGAATAAATGAGAACGTATTAAAATCCATCATCATTCAGTTTCTTGTGCTACAAGATTGATTTTTGTCAATCTTTTGGAGTTTATTTAAAGGCAGAAAATATAATTAGCGTATCAGACTTTTAAAGATAATTATATTTTCCTGATAAAAGTTCTACTAATTAAACCCGTTCTAGGTGTGACGATAAACAACATCCTGATCTGGAAGTTTTGAAAAGCCTGGAACCCCATCATATTTGATGTTATACCAAGTTCCACCTTAAACATTGGTGATAGTACCTGATAATATCCAAATTATGGGCAAACAGTTAACACCCAAAACTGAGATGAAAATACGATGAATGTATAAAATGTTTTTTTATCAAAAATACCAGCAGTAACTTTTCAGAGTGACAAATATTACTAGCAATACGTTTATGTAAGGGAAAAATACGAGCAGTAGATTTCTTTAAAAAAATTACTCGTGCTCCGAAAAATGAAATATCAACATTAAATGACACATACGAAGTTAATATGCCGCTAAAAAACAATTAAATAAATATTAATTAAACAGTTTAGAACAAGAAATGTATCCATCCAATTCACAATTGTGCTTAAAGAACTAAAACTACAGTTCTGAGCCGTTATCCATT